TGCCTAGCTTTTTAGGATCATATTTTCACAGCCCAATTTGGATTCTTTCATGCCCAGGTGGGGAGGAAGAATTTTTGTCCTCAGCACGTGATTGATGTGTTGAGATGCATGACGTTTAATCGGGGAGAGGGATCCGTTCCTTTTAGGGCTCATTTGTGCTATGTGTTTTCTGGCTATGGGTCAAAACATAGGGCAGCCCTAGGAAGCAAACTGAGGAAGCATTACTGAAGGTTTACTCCATGCTGGCCCGGCATCTGCCTGCCCTTCCCGTTGGGAAGAGAGCCTGGGAATAGCAGGAGAGTGAGAGGGCTGGGGAGGGACCGGGGGCAGCCCTGTCCCCACTCTGTGGCCACTGCGACCACCCTGCTGTGCTGGGCCTGGGCCTGTATGTCCTCAGAGCAGCTCTTTGCCCTTCCTGTGCTGTGCTGTGCATCACAGAGAGGCCGACCTCTGCGAGTGTGTTTCCCGGGCTTGTCTGGACTTGGTTTTGCCCTTAGGGCTGGTTTTCTTGCTTTGGTGATCTCACTAATATCACCGTGCTGCTTGTTTCCTTCTTCTGTTTAACCTAATCATTTATAAAATGAAATTCTTTCCCTTATTTTTCTGGCTTCTGGCTGGAGAGAGATTAGACGTCGGAGGGTCTTGTCTCCTTGGCAGCAGGAAGGCGCACAGCATCTCCAGCAGTGGCTGTATCTCCAGGACCTGGTGCCCCTCCTGGGTTCCACCTTCCACCAGGACACCTGGCTCAGGCTCTGGCGACACCTCCTTCTCCCTCCATCCCTCTACCAAGGGCTTCCTGCTTTGCTAACATCTGAGTTACCTCCCAATTGCTTGTTTGGCTTCTCAGCTTTTCCACCACCTGTACAGACAGTTCCCGACATTAAATCCCCTCTGTGGGAAGTACTCTGAATGGTTTCCATTTTCCTGCTCAGACTTTTGACTGCTCCCTATGTCTCTGGTATATTTGTCTTAGCCCTAGTAGGGCAGTTCCTCAATGCCAAATCTTTTATTGTTGCAAACTTGCTTTTTAAAAAGTTAATTCAGAACAAGCATGATACATGGTGCTAATGTGCCATCTCAGTAGGTCATTGTGGACACTTATTGCTGGAAACTCATAAGACCAAGTCTGATACCTGATAACCTAGAAGGGCTTGGGTACACTTGTCTCAATGAACTTTAACATGACAGAACAAAAACTCTTCCAAAGGATGAGCAAAGATGTCTCTAGAAGAACAGAACAGGTGGGATGGTGTCATGGTACCTATTGTGTAAGCACTGGGGTGAGATAGACCTGGATTCAGCTCCCAGCTCTTCAGCTTATTAGGTGTGTGAGCTCAGCCCCTATGTGTCTCTGGCCTTAGTTTTCTCAATAAAAAATGAGAGTAATAATAAAATAAGGATGTAACACATGTAAAGATGCATGTGTGGACAACACACGTAAAAGGCCTGACACAGGAAATGCTTGGTCCTGCCTTCAGGGCTGCCTTTCTTGTTTCAATTGTCACTAATATCACCATCCTGCTTCTTTCCCTCTCCTGTTTAACCCAATCATTTGTAAAATGAAGTGCTTTTCCTCGTTTCCCTAAAGCACAGCTGAGGTGAGATTCTCAAAAGGAACTTTACTTGAAAGCCAAGAGAAACCAAAAGGAAATAAATAAGCAAATACAAAAGCAATAAAGTCATGCTCGTAATGGAGGGGTCCCTGGAGAGGCACTGGCCAGTGACTTTGTTTCCCAGGGACCTGGCCTACCTGTCACAAACGCCCTCTGTCTCACCACATACGGCTGCTAGGCACCAGCATAGTTCTCAGAGCATAGGAGCTTGCCTAACCGAATGTAGTGTTCCTTTCAAAGACGAATTTCTCTTCCCCCAAAATGAAACTTTCCCTGCCTTCACCCTGGCTGTGTTCCTTGGAGGTTTGTTTACATAAAGAGACTATCCGCTTCTCAAAGCATCCGTTCATTGTGTTGCTAAATCCTAAACCTAAAATCTTTGAGCCAGGGAAGGTCATGAGAACGCTGCCTTCCAGCAAATTAAATAGTCTCTTGGTCCTGAAACTGGTACTAGGATTATCTAGCTAAAAGACAACCTTGTGTACATTTTGCAAATCAAAGGAACAATTTTGGTTGAAGCCTGTTGCTTCCTAATACTTTCTTCTCAGGGTTCCAAGGAACCAAAAAAGGAGCTATCCAACCAAATTAACTAACCTAGGAACTACTTGTTAGCATTTTGTTAAAATATTCTGTAGAATATTCTACAGAAATGGCTATTTCTGTAGAAACAAAAGGATGCAATCTTCAAATGATGTTTCATTGCACCTATCAAAGAATAAATATTCATCGGTACTCCTCACGCATGGGCGTCTTCTTGACCTCTAGCTCAGCCAGGCTCTCAATGACTATGGCAAAGGAAAGTAGATTTTTTCATAGGAAAGAAAAGGTTACCTCAGATGCTAACGCCACATCCATCTACTCTAGAACACATGTACCTGCACCTCTTTCTTCCAAGACAGGAAGAAGACATGAGTTTCTACTATTATTTTCAGCAGTTCAGAGGCCTCTCCAATTTGCGTACATAACCAGGGGCAGTCCTAGACATATAAACCAACCTGTGTAATGGGAAGAGGCGGGATGCATGACTACTGGGAGCTCATGACTCGGAAATAATCAGCGTGTTTTAACTGCACACGTTTCCAGGGCCCTGGTGCATGCTGGTCTGGCGCTTTTGAACATTTTTCCGGATGACTTGGCATCACAGAATTTTCTCTGTCTTCTTTGAGGTGGTGGTACAAGCACAGGGCCTCCATGAGCTCATGGTCCCTCTCCCATCGGAAAGTCTGCCATAAGGGAGTGTGGGCTCTTTCAGGGCAAAGTCAGTCTCTCTTTAAAGCTACTGTTGAATTGGACCAGATTGGCATTTCTTGGTCTCTGCTGGCTGTAAAAAGTAGGCTGCTAAAATGCTATAATATTGCTGGACACCTGTGCACTAGTGATTCCAGGAGGAAAAAAGAACACGTGCTAGATACTAGCGAGGTGATGAAAATGGTTCGTGACTTCAGTGAGATTTCAGTCATTCTAAATAAATCTGTGTCTCGTCCATGCTTCTCTCAAAGTTTAGTATTCTTTTCTCTTTTCCCTTAATTCTATTATAATATTAAAAGCAGCAACCCATCTGAAATTTATTGTTGATAAAAAGGAAGGTATATGTTTATACTTGTAGATTTGTATTTAGGTACACAAAGTATTTTTAATTATATTGATGTTTATTTCCCCCATTGGTTATGTTTTTTAAAATTAGGACTAGAGAGAAAAGATATCAATTTTATTTTCAATGTAATACTTTCTATTTGCAAAAATTAGGGGTTTTAGTATAAAGTACAATAATCTCTGTATTAGTTTTTTGTGACTGCTGTAATAAATTACCACAAGCTTATTGGCTTAAAACAGCACAAAGTAATAAGTTTACAGGGCTGTAGTTTAGAAGTTTCACTGGGTGAAAACAAAGGTATTGGCAGCCAGTTCCTTCTGGAGGTTTTAGGGGAAAATCCATATATTGTGTTGCCTTTTCTATCTTTTAGAGGCTGCCCTCATTCCTTGGCTCTCGGCCTCCTCCATCCTCAGCAAAATCGGGCTGAGTCTTACTCACTGCTCTCTCTGTTTCCTCTCCTACTCCCTCTTCCATTTTTAAGGGCCCATATGATTATATTGGAGCTGCCTGCAAACACCAGAATCTCCCTGTTTTGATCCTTAACTTAATCACATCTACAGGGTTCTTTTTGCTGTGTCATCTAATATAGTCACAGGTTCTGGAGATAAGGACTTGGACCTCTCTGGGGTGGCCATTATTCTGCCTACTGCAAGCTCATAAGTGAACCTACCATCTTTTCTTACTTTCTGGAAGTGGCATGCACAGCGTTGTATTGATGCTTCTACCACCACCTTTAATTGAATATAACTGTCTTCTCCATTCAGAGATGCCATTACCGGATATCACAGAGAAATAGAGGGAAGGGGTTTCAGCACGGCTGGGGGAGTTAACTGTGTAGCAAGTCCTTTCCCTGGGATTCCAGTTCAGCACCTTCATCTGAACGTAGAATGTAGATAATGATAGGAGCTTCATCTAGATCCTAGAGTTGTTCTTACAGTCACAGAATCCCGAAAACTGTTCACCACTTTGCAAAAGGAAGAGATGGTACACTAGCTGCCCCAGTGGGTTCTAGGAACTTGAGTGCATAAACCACCAAGAAGCGCCATTTAAAAATTAAAACTTTCTTTCTAAAAATACACATCTCAGGGGCCAGCCTGGTGGTGCAGCAGTTAGGTTCACAAATTCCTCTTCAGTGGCCTGGGGTTTGCCGGTTTGGGTCCCGGATGTGGACCTACACACAGCTTGTCAAGCCATGCTGTGGCAGGCGTCCCACATATAAAATAGAGGAAGGTGGGCACGGATGTTAGGCCAGGGCAAATCTTCCTCAGCAAAAAAAGAGGAGGATTGGAGGCAGATGTTAGCTCAGGGCTAATCTTCCTCAAAAAAAAAAAAAAAAAATACACAATTGCAGAAAAAGAATCTTAACTACATGAGACAGGTTGAAATTACTCATTTCCATTCTAAGTCAATGCTTTTTCCCCCTCCCCTGAGATGGGTCATTTTAATCTCTACTCATGTTTATCTTGTTTTGCTCGTTCCTCTGCACTGATGTTTGTTATGCTTTGAGTAGACATGGAGTCCCTTCTCATTAAGCCTACAAACATCCAATCATTCCTATCTGTTTGGTTTTTTTCATTTTTAACAATTTATTTAAATTTTGGCAAATTGAGTGGTCTAATTTTGCCCTTTGAATGCGTATGCATTCAAGTTCTTTAGGCAGATTTTATCTCTTATTTTTTAAATTCTATTTTGAGTTTTATAAAACTGGATGTTTTGTATTATCCCCCAACCCATAATTTTCTTTGGCGAACTTTTTGTTTAATTTTCCTTTGCTTTAACATTTTATTTTTCAGACACCTCTCATTGAACCTCACGTTCCTCTTCGTCCTGCTAACACCATTACCAAGGTAATGGGCTGTAGGTGGGTTGATGAGCCATCAGAGATAGCTTCTTAAGTAACCACTGGAGGTGGTCCATGTGTCAGAGCTGCACACCAGGAAACCTCGGGTACATTTTCTAGAGACACTAAATGTTCAGGGTGTCTCGGTTCTCAGCATAAAACAGTGACGTATCACACAAGTGAACAACGTACATGTATGAGTGAGTTGTATTTTTCAAGCCAGAGTCAGATTGGAAAGTGATTTAAAGATTCATCTGGTTTGTTTTCCTTCTATAAACTCTCCTTCCTTCTCTTCCCCTCCTTCCACCTGATTAAAATGCAGGTCCCTTCAGAGAAGATCCTCAGGGCTGGAAAAATTTTACGAAACGCCATTCTCTCTCGAGCACCTCACATGATTAGAGATAGGAAATACCACCTAAAGACGTACAGGTATGTGCGATGATTCTGCGGCCCCTCACATTTGCGTTTAGTGAAATTGGAACAAACTTGCCTTTCCCTGTTTTCCATCTTTGGGCAGCGTGTTTTATAATCCGCCAGGTTCTGGAAGATCTAAGCTTGTCTTGGATCCCTGCTTAGCTTCAGTTATCCTTAATATTCCCAGAAGTTACTCCAAAACTAATTTGCTTGAACATGGTTTAATTGTGATGAACACAGAGAAGAAAATTTTTATATTTCTATTTACTAGTGTTTTTTAGGAAAACTTCTGGATTTAATTGAGATTTACCTAGCATTTACTGAGCATTTATTTATGCTTGAACACTTGTACCAGGCCACTTTCCATACATTATCTCATTTCATCCTTACCACAACCCGCTAGGTAGGTGAATGGCCATTTTTCAGATGATAAAACCAAGATTCAGGGGGATTAATAGTTTTCCTTCTCCAAGCCACATATCTACTGAGTGGCAGAGCCAGGATTCAAACCAAGGTTGGTTGACTCCCAAATTCAATGATCTTTTTGTTCATTCTATCATTTATTCATTCCACAAATTTATTAAGCACCTACTGGCACCAGGCACTATTGTGTTGCAAGCCCTAAGCATACAGGAGTGAAAAAAAACATGCAATATCCTTTATGGAGTTTACTTTCTAATGTAGGATTTCATTCTAGTATGCCTATAGTAGCTCTGTCCTACATCCCTAATCATGTAGACTAAGGACTCGTTATAGCTGTCACAGGGGTTAAAAAATTATAAAGACTGGGGCTACTGGTGATTTCGTTGAACCTTCTGTGATGACTGAACCATGGTGGGTCAACTACGGATTCGTGTCTAATCTTTAACTTTTGCTGTTATGAATTCAACAAGGGTTTAGGAACTAGAATGGCCTACATATGGATGGCACGTAAGCCTTCCCTCTCTCCCCACACCCATGGTTCAGACTCACGGCCCCCTTTCAGCAATCAGTCAGGCTCTCTTTCCCATTTAGCCTAGACATGACCTCAGAACCCATCAGACTTGGCATGAGTCAAAACCCATTTGATTCACATGAACCAGATTCATAAGACACATTGAAAAGCTAGAATATGAATTTTAAAATTACCATGCAGGATCTATATCTTTATGTGACTATCAACTATGGTAGAACCCATAAAATTATACCCAGTTGACCCTATAGCAAACCTTCAGGTGTGTCTGCTTCAAGATCCAGTCTCTTCCCCAAGGACAGAAATGGAAAGACATTGCAGTTCTTCCCCTTTGGATCACTTTTTCTGCATTCCACGCAAACTGACACTCTTTTGCTTGCATTTGTCGTGAATATGTTTACAAGACCAAAATCGGCAGTTTATTTGTTGCTTTTAGATTGGCCTCTTCTTGATAGAATTTTGGAAATGAGAGGGGCTTTGAGAAACACTTTGGTCGTATCAGTAGCACATTTCTCTTGAACACAGTCCATCTCGTAAGATTGTTCATCTAGGCCTTTGAATGTTGATATTTACTAACTACTATTTGGGATGATTACATCTGGAAGTCTTCTTCAGCCCTGGAAGTTCATTCTTTCTAGAGTCTATGGTCCCTACACACTGCTATAATTTAAAGGGAAGTACAGATTTTTTTTCAAAATCATGTGTCATATGTTCCCAGAGAGAGTTCAATCTCTTTAGCTCATTAAGTGGCTCTTAAAATCTCATATGGTTAAAGGACCTTTTTCTTTTTAAAAATTTATTATTTTTTCCTCCATTTAAAATGTGATTATACTGTTTCAAGTGTTGACTTGCGTTAGGGAAATTCCATTAAAATATGTCATCTTTGGTGACAAATAATGGAAACTAAAAGTCAGCCACCATAATCTCTTTCTTGCTCCATAGTACTAAGATTTTAAACCCCTGAAATATAGGTGTTATGTCTATTCCACACCCTATGACACAAATTAATGATCTGTTGGTAATAACCTGTGGACTCAGCTGGAAGCCAGAGGCATGATTTCTTTTTCCTACAGCACAGTTTGAGTTCCTTGTCCCAGACCTTGTTCCCAGTTCCATCCTCTGCCTCCCTCCTACTCCTTACCCCATTATATCATTGCTGCAGCGTTTGGGTGTTAAAGTCTCCGTAGATGCGGTATCACCCCGAGAGATCACTATCCCAGAGATCTGCTGTCAGTTCTAGAGTGGGTAGAGATCATTAAGGGAGAGGAAACCTGGTGATTCCATCAGCTACAAGGGGCACAGCCATGTGTCTTTGCTCTGTATTCTGACTGCAGGACTCTCACACCCTGTATGAGGGCCCAGAAGCTCTGAGAGCATCTCAATTCCGTGTACTCTTTTCAGAAAAGGTAATCATTGAATTGAAGACCACATGAAATTGATTTTCTCTACTTTTACAAGACTTTTTCCATTAATAAGTTCACAAATAAGAAGAGGAATATTTTGAAAGGCCGTATAGTTCTTTCAGAAAGAATACTAACTAGGTGCCTCGCTGCCTATTGAAGCTCTAATGTGTGGATGTAGATTGTAATCAGAGCAGTGCTGGAAATCTAATGGCCTTCTCAGTACATCCTCCTCTTGAAATAGTCTAGGATCTGGCCCGAATCAGGGCATCACAGGAGCTCTGATAGATTTCAGAGTTCCTCGAATATTAGAACTGGAAATGGCCTTAGAGGCCATCTTTTCCTCCTCCTTTCTTTTACAGATGAGAAAACTGAGAACCAGAGAGTTAAATGATATAGCCAAACTAACATAGCTAATAAGTAGCAGAGCTGGTGCTATATCTCATCACTCCTCCCAGATTAAGCCTCTTCCTAAAGTGGCACAGTACCAGGACTCTCTTCCAGGTTAAACTAGAGAGGAGCTCCCCGGGTTTGACCTAGCCTCAGCCCATGCCCTAGAGATGGTGACATCCTTAGCATGGGAGAGGAGGCCACCAGTGACTCAGACCCAACTGCGATGACTCCCTGCCTTGTTTCATTGTCCCTTGCGATTCATCCCTCAGACTCAACATTCCATTTCCTCCCTCATGCCACCAACACCTGCATTTCTCTCTCACCCCACTGAAGATTGCAGTATTTCCTAATGTGTATGTCTATAATTACATGTTTCCTAACTAGTGCATGTAGTTTGCCCATCTTGACCAACTTACCACAGAGGGACATCTTAGGGATGAATGTGTGACACTACACAGAAAGCATTTGGAGCTCTTCAGATGACAGGCTCTGTAGAAGTGCTGATGCTCATTACACAGAACTTTTTTCAAAGAGATGTGCATTGCTAATTGCTTGTTTCTCCCAACACCCCTCTGAGGAAGATCAGTAGTATTACTTGAAAATATAAAGTGCCATATAATTTTGCACTTATACAGCGCCTTACAGACATTAACTCACAAGGCTCAGGTGAAGGAAGTCAGAGTTTTGCTTAGCCTTTGTTTTACACTGAGATTTTCTGGGACTGGCTCAAGATGAGAGAGTTTCTGGCCGTGGGATTACTTGCCAGGTAGTGCTCCTGTCTAGCAGCCCTTCAGTCTCTACTGGTGCTGCAACTTGCAATGCTCTTTCATTTAGCAGGCTTGCGTAGAAGATTCTCTCATAAGCTGGGCGGTTTTATTGGTCTGTACAAGAGTTTGAGAACCTGAGGCCACACCGTGTGGTGTTTGTCTGCAGTAAGACCTCTTATGGTAGAAGAGCATTACGCTCTCTGAGAGGGTCTCCTTTCCGAAGAGTCATCGTCATCTGCAAGGTGGTCATTTCCCATCCTTTCTGTCGCACCTCCCCTTAGACAATGCTGTGTGGGAACTGAGCTGGTGGACTGGATGCTGCAGCAGACTCCGTGTGCCCACTCCCGGACTCAAGCTGTTGGGATGTGGCAAGTGCTGGTGGAAGATGGTGTTCTCAACCATGGTAAGATGAGCCACAGTCCCTGGAAAACCCTCAAGAAATGCTAATTGTGTTTCCCTGGCTAAGTTATTGCTGAACTCCCAAATGGGCAAGAAAGAATTATGCTCCCTTTCAGGACCCGCTGAGTTAGCATCTTCATTTAGCAATACAAATGCAGTAAGTGGATGCTATTGATTGCTATGTTCCACCATTGTACCTTCCTAACTTGGGAGAATGTATGAAGGGAAAATGAAATTGCAGCCTGAGTGCATCAGTTCCAATTATGTTTATTAGTTTGCATTCACAGTTCATTGATAGTGTGATTATATTCTGAGCATTCCATAGTAGTCTTGATGCAGGGGCAGAATGAAGAACAATGAAATGTGTGGCTGGGCTGATGACATGAAAGAAAGTAATGAATTCAGAAGCTGCCTTTTAACTGTGGCGTTATCTAGGAGAGCCAACATGTATACTCACAGCATGACCATATTTAAAATCAGGAATGTTCTCTGCCATGTGGCCCCTGGCTATCTGCAGGGGCTATAATTGAGCAAGGTAGATATGCAGGTCTGGAGTGTGACTGTGGTTGAACTGCTCATGCCATTTGTTGGAAGACTACTTTTCCAAACTGATGAACTATGAAAATCACTCATTTAATTTACCAACACCTAGGAATCTAACGATGGTCTTGCCAGTGTTTCTCAGATGTGAAGGTGCATACAAATCTCTTGGGACTCTTGTTAAAATTCAGATTCTGATTCAGCAGGTCTGGGATAGGTCCAGAGAGTGTGCATTTCCAACAAGCTCCCAGATGATGCTGATGCTGCTGTTCCGGGGATCACATTTTGAGCAGCAAGGGTCTACCACTTCTCTTTATCTTTTGACAGTATTGATGCTGCATCCTGAAAGGGGACTTCAAAGCTTTAGGACATAAAGATGAAGGATTCTGAGCCCAGTTCACTGACTTTGTCCTACCAGGATCTAAATCTTTCTGTTTAAAGGGAACAAGAGAAAAACCTTTTTAAAATCAGAGCTGGAAGGAAATTACCATAAGATCTTTCTAAGGGTATATGACCTAGAAGCTTGGTCTAGTCAGCTTTGTGCAAACAATTTTATTCTTTTTTTTTTTAAAGTACAGACAGACATGTTTATAAACAGTCCATATAGAAAGAAAAACATGAATTTTGATCCTGAAAAAGTAGGTTTTTTTTTTTTTTAAGTCTGTACTTTCAAAGACCTTTATAGAGCACGATCTGGCAGTTGGTTATTTTCCTGTTTGGGACATATGTCCTACATGCTAGAAAAGGTCACCAAGGCAATTTTTGCTGGTCAAAGTGCTCATCTCAGAAAAGTTGGCAGGTTCTCCTGAGAGAGTCCTAGGGTGGCTGACGCGCTGGGCGGGTCAGAGAGAGCTGTGAGGTGCTTGACTGTAGCCAAGAGGTCATGTCTTCCAGCTGCACAGCCCTGGGACAGGCGGAGTGAGGAGGGTGAGGAGTGTCACCACTTTGCTGCCACTTGGCTGTCTTGCCCGACACCATTCATTTGTTTCTGGTAAACAGGGCTGTGAGGCAGAAGTGCAACAGCTGACACTTGCCTCCATGTTTCCCGCAGTGGACCAGGAGCATCATTTCCAAGACAAATATTTATTTTATCGATTTCTGGATGACGAGCACGAGGATGCCCCTTTGCCTACTGAGGAGGAGAAGAAGGAGTGTGATGAGGAGCTCCAGGACACCATGCTGCTGCTGTCACAGATGGGCCCCGATGCCCACATGAGGATGATCCTCCGCAAACCGTGAGTAAGAGCACGTCGCCCACCCCTGCAGGTCATCCAGGCCACCGAGTGCTCAGGCATGCACGCCTGTGCAAGAGGGAAGTGAGGCTGATTTCAAAAGTCCTGGCCTCACTCGGGGTCAAAGGAGGGACTCTGAAGGGATGACACAGCAGGGTTTGTCCCTTTTCATTTTATTTTATTTTTGAGCCAGATAACTCCATTTCCCTTTTGCATGAGTTGCAACTATAGAGATTTTTAGTGGTTAGCTCAGAATGCCAAAACCGAGTCCACATATGAACCAACCTTTGGTCAATGACAAACAGAAGCTGCTCTGTTTCTATGCCAGTCTGCAGCAACCCCTTTCTTCCTAGTGCAATAGCACAGAGGTCGTCAGCACCATAGACCTCATGCCCATGCTCGTATTCATTCATTCATTCATTCTTTCCTTCAGCATTTCCTCTCACCCCATTCTGAGGCTTCTGCTGTTTAGCTTAAAGGCACGTTCTTAAGGGGACCCCACTGCTCCATGAAAGCTTCAAGGCCTCCATTCCGCCGGTAAGGCCCTCTCTCCCTTCCATCTCAGCTGACGCTTGCCCTCCCTTCCGTGGCAGCCATCAGCTGAAGCTGAGGGCTCTGAAGTGTTTAATCGGATCCATTCAGAGAGAATGTATTGAGCCCCTATTCCCTTTGGGCGCACGACTCCTTGCCATGGCGCATGTGAAGAAGCCTACGCCACAGTCTCAATCTCAGGGAAACCTTTTCAATAGGGATGACTTGCTTCTGAAACCTCCTCACACAGGCTAATGTTTTTCTACTGAAAATGAAATCGCCCTCCACCCTGTAACCGATGCCAGCCAGCTGTGCATGTCGACTCTGAGTCACTGGGTTGGCCGACCTCCGTTTATTAGCAGGTCTCGATGAGGGTTAAATTTTACATGTCTTCTCTGTCCACTGGGCACTCTCCAAGAGTGAGATGTCCCTCTGGCCAGCTTCCCCAAGGTCTGCCCCTCAAACCGGATCACAGTAGCCTCTCTGAGTGCACTTTATTTTCGTTCCCCAGGATTCTTCCCCTTTCACTGCCCTTACTCAGTTCTACAAAAGGCTTTTCAACATATATCATTTTTTGTCACACCATGTCCCCTTTGTTAAAACTTTCTCTTGGGTCTAAATGATCCACACTGGTGTTTCAAAGGCCTTCCCTCATCCCAGTTGGCACCATCATCCTTAACTCTAGAACCATGGTTTTCAGCTCTTTTAGCTTCAAAACCCTTTCTTCAAACAAAAATTTTACTGGAAAATCCAAAATATCAAACAGAAAAGCCAGAGCTTCACTGACCTAATCATGAGTAGGGTCCAAGAAAGCTGCCCAGCCAATTTATGCCCTGTCTGCCCTGAAGGATTGGAGGGGAGGGTGGCTGCGGGGACACGAGAGAATCCTCAGGGCTTCAGGAACTCAGATGAACACCACCATTCTAAACCATGCTTTCTTTCCTGTTGACTGCTTCCCCTCCCTCTTCCCCACACCCTTTGTCCCATTGTCCATCATCATACTTCCTCGTCGTTTCCTGGATCCATCTCCTTCTTGTTCTTGCTGCCACATTCATTCGAGCTAATACCATGCAGTGGTTCTGAGTCAGGAGTGGAGCATTTGGAAGTATGTGAGGATGTTTGGGCTGTCACAAATGCATTAGGGGCCACACTGCTGGCATTCATTGGGCATTGGCTAGGACTAAAGGATGCTAAATATACCCCAATACCTAGAACCCTACAAAATAAGGAGCTGCCTTGAAAATAATGCCCCTGTTGAGACACATTGCTTTAGATATTGAGTTCCTTAAAGACAAACACATATCTCATTTTACTTCCTTCCTTCATTCATTTAACTAATATTTATTGAACACCTGTTTTGTTCTAGATACTTTGTTAGTTGATAAAACTGCAGAATTAGACAAGAGGGTTGCACCTCCTTCCTGGAGCTTTCTGTCTAAGACAAGAGACAGACCTTAAACAACTAGTTATGCAAGCACTTGTTTAATAACAGATGCATTACATGCTATAAAGGAAAATGCAGTGTATGTTGATAGAATATAACATGGAGGGGGGATTTAACTTGGTGTGGAAGTTAGAAAAGGCCACATCCTTAGCTCTGTGCATTACACCAAATAGATCACCAATAAACCTTTGCTGAGTGAATGAATGAACAAATGAATTTATAGCACTCAGCTCTTAGTTGCTTCAAGGGAGGCAGAAATGCCTTTTGATTCACAAATATTTTTGAGCATTTCCAAAGAGATTTTTAAAAAGGTAATAAAAGGGTTCCTACCTTTGAGGAGTTTATAATATAATAGGAGAGCTACTCCCAAATTAGATTCAGATGCAACAAACATTTATTGAGTGCCTGCTGTATGCTAGGCACCATGCTAGGGACATTCATACTTATTGTTTGATTCACCCTCACAAGAGTCTGAGAGCTGGTTTCATGAGTCACCCTTAGAAATGGGATGCTGTGTGTGTACGTCTTTTTTCTTCCATACGGCATTGAATTGCATGATCCTTGGTGGCCCAAAGATTTTTCAGAGAAAATTACATTCCAAAGACTGGACTTTTCTAGCCTATCACTGGCTGTTAAAGTACAGGTTTCACCAGTATTCCAAGGCACATCATTTTGGGTGCCCTTGGGATTTTCCCATTTTCCCAGACTTTATGAAACTGCAAACTTTGGAATTGGACTGGCGGTTCATCTTTTGACTTAGTACTCTTAGATTTTCTTTCTCTTTGGAGTGCAGTCCCCAAGAGATGAGAAAGTGAAAAATAAGGAATCTAATTTTATGAGACAGACCTCCAAACTCTACACACACACACCATTTTTTTTTTATATGATAGTAACCTTTGAAGCTTCTACTTTATTTTGTTTAAGTAGAAGGAAGATAAGCTTAGTTGATCAAGAATTGCCAGTATCACTGCTGTCCCTGAAGAGCCCAGCTGAGCACTTTGCTGCTGGAAACCTGAGGGCATGTTCAAAGGTACTGGAACTGTTGACTTTTTACTGCCCAAACTGCCAAGTCATTAAGAAATGTGGAGCCATGAGATGCATTGGCTCCATATCGACCAGAGCAGGACCCCCCAATTTTTTCACTCAGCACAGCTGCATTTTATAGTAGTCACCACTGCCAGAGAGGTTGCAGAACTCCGATAATTACTGGGAAAGAAATAACACAATATTCTTTGATGAGAAGATTACTTTGAGAATTTGATTGTATAATGAAGATGTTGCTTTGAAAGGTACTTGCCATTGTTCTGAATCTGAGACTCGCTAGCAAAAAAAAAAAAGTGTCACTTGTTTTGACAGGCTACTTAGAAAAATTCTCTGTTTATTACATTAACTGCGGCATTTTAACTGTCAAACTATGAAAGAATGTTCTGTAGTTTAAAAAACAGAATAGAGCTTCAGGGGAAATTTTTTGGCACACTCTTGTTGCTATTGGTGTTTTAAAAAAAACATACATTCTGAATGCGAAATTAGCTTTTTATGTGGTGGCAGGCAGAGTGACTCACAATGCCCATCCCGGTTTCGCAGGTGCAGACCTGGATGGCACTTGGGGGCAAGTGCTATAGAACAGTGACAGTTTGACGGCCCTGTTGTCGCTGCTCCCAGACAGGGCAATCAAACCTAAAATGAGCTCTCGGAGCTTATTGTTTTGATTTTGCTTTGTTTATAAGTCTAAAAACAAGAGGTTACTGTACAGAAAATAGATACAGTGGAGACCCTTACCAGCAGAAACATGCATTCTGGCTCCCTCTGAGCACGTCCTTTGGTTAGGGGCCATGGGCAAAGGGATGTGGAGTGACCAGGTAAGCAGAATGTTATAAACTTGAGGCCAGCTGGATAAAAAGAAGCTCCAGGGAGACAGCGAAGCCTCTTGCCATACAATCTTCCCAACCTCTTCTTCCAAGGAAAGCGAGACATAATGTTACACTGTTTAGACTGGTCTATCGGAGATCAGCTTCAAGGTGGGAGGGAAATGACCTAGATGCTGTTTCCCAAATCTAATTCTAGGTAGGTCTGCAATTCTCAAAGTCCCTAAAAGCCTAGAAGCTTAAGTAGTTGAGGAAAAGATAAAGTCAGTTGGGCCTAAGCAGAATCAAAAATAATATATATATATATACATAAGAGAATTGTTGGCAGGTTCTGGAGTCTTCCAAATGAGTTGGAAACTCAGAAACTTGAGTTCATTTATTTCATGTCATAAATTAATATTTTCTAACATATGCTATGGGGCGTAAAGTCGAAAGGAAACGATTTAAGATAATGAAGTGACAGGAGGAAATGCCCCAGGGCAGGGGTGGGGTTGTTGTTGACCAGTCCTGTAGGCTGCTTTGACAGCCCCCACCTGCTGTTCCACACAGTTCCTCTAGAGGGCACTTGAGGGGCTGTGTGTTTTCTCTTAATTAGCAGAGCCTGTTTTAGTAGGGTCTTCTGTCCAAGTTGTTTTTGAGGCTGTGAAATTTGAAATCCTGATAGTTATAGGGAAATTTGCTTCCTCAAGGGGACCGAGTTAGCAATCCTGAAATCGGAGGTTCCCAGTGTTTTGATTTCTTTTGGGATATGTCAAGAGATGTTCAAAGTTAGGAAGTCTATCCTCTTAATGCAAATCAGATGAAAAGAGAAGCATAACTGAGAGAGCCTCATCTTTAGGAAATAAGAAATTCACTGTGAATCTTTCCTTTCACCATATGACAAACTTTGCCTTTGCTTTTTCCTGGAAAGATTGCTGGGCCCTAAATGAAAGCTTGTAGAATTTAGCAGAAGGAATAATTGCATTAAGTGGGCCATTTCTTGGGTTTGGATTTGTCTCTCCCCTGTAACAGCAGTTTACCACTTATCCCTCGTGTTTACATGCTCAAGAAACCAACCATTGGGTTGCTGCCGTTATGACTCAGATTCGGGAGAGGGGAAGATGGATGTAGCTGCCCATTTACAGCTTAGGGTTCATTATACCATTACCTCGAGATTTTAATGA